ATATGTCAGGGAAGAGATGAAAATATAAATAGAGTTAAAGAAATGTTGTTAAGTCAAGAGGATGAGCACTATGAACTACGAAATGGTGTTGTATATAAGAAAAGTAACGATAGGCTACGGTTTTGTGTTCCACAATCGATGGAAGAAAATGTTCTGTACAAATACCATGATGAGATGGGGCATGTAGGAATTGACAAAGTAACGGACCTCATAAGTAAGAGTTATTGGTTTCCAAGTATAAGAAAGAAAGTTGAGAGTCACATAAAGAACTGCCTAAAGTGTATAGCGTTTTCTAATAAAACAGGTAAAACTGAGGGGTTTTTACACCCCATTCCGAAAGGAACAAGTCCGTTTGAAGTCATTCATATTGATCACTATGGTCCGATAAATAGCAAGGAGACAACTAAAAAGCATATACTAGTAATAATTGACGCATGTACAAAGTTCACCAGATTATATCCAACCAAAACAACTAGTACTAAGGAAGCAATCGAAGCGTTAGAAAACTATTTCAGATCGTACAGTAGACCTAAGAACATAATATCTGATCGAGGCAGTTGTTTTACGTCAAAGGAATTTGAAGAGTTTGTTGTACAGAACAATGTAAGGCATGTAAAAGTAGCAACAGCTTCGCCACAAGCAAACGGACAGGTAGAAAGAGTTAATAGAGACTTAGGTCCAATGATAGCAAAGTTAACAGACGTAGAGAATAATCAACCATGGCACAAAGTTTTAGACAAAGTAGAGTTCACAATGAATAACACAAAGAATCGAAGTTTGAATCAATATCCAAGTGTAATGCTATTTGGTGTAAGGCAGAAGGGTTGTTATATTGATAGTTTAAAAGAAAATTGTATTGATGAGTGTCAAGAAGATATGCACAAAGACCTAAACGAAATAAGACTACAAGCTGATATATGTCAGAGAAAAGCGCAAGGATATAACAAAGACTATGTTGATTCAAAACGACAAAAGCCGCATCTATTTTCTGAAGGAGATTATGTTGTTGTACGAAATTTCAATTCGCAGCAAGGTGTGTCCAGTAAGTTAGTTCCCAAATTCAAAGGGCCATACGTTGTGTCCAAGGTGTTAGATAATGATAGGTACTTTATTGAAGATGTAGAAAACTTTCAGCAATCCCAAGTGCCATATTCGGGTATATGGGCGGTGCATAATATGAAACCCTGGCTTAGTGGAATAGAACAAATTAATGTTAATAAGAATCCAGATATAAAAGATAAGGAAACAGATCCTGTGGAGAAAATTGACTATACAAATGAAATTATTGTAAATAAAAACAAAACTAGCATTACCGAAAATAGTAGTAAAAACAAAGACGTAAACGACACTTGTAAAATAAATAAATATGGCCAAAGTAGCATTGTTACTAGAAGTAAGTCAACGAGTATCGGGAGATCCTCATAGTCAGGACGGCCGAATTGTAGTAATAAGAACTATGTAAGCAACTACTATTAGTATTAACATGGCCAACGTAGTTTTAAGTTAATTATGTTATGTTATTTGTGTAGCCCTGGATATGTTATGTTGTGCTATCCCTGGTTTGTAAAAGTCACGAGAGTATCTTCCATCCCTGGAAGGCACGAAGAAAAAAGAGGAAGAGGATTCGAGAAAAAGCGTGGCTGGTGATCGGATGTGAATAACCGAAAATAAAACTATACTATACACTACTTGTTTAAATAAAACTACAAAGACACCATACTATAATATGGGCCTGTTTTCTTGAACTTAGATATTTTTAGAGTAAATAGAGCAGCGATAGCATAAAATTCGTTTGAAAACCGAATTATATCTTTTATGTTTTAAGTATTTTTCAAAGAAAATGGCATATTAAGGGGAAACCCCGTATGTTTAATTTTAATAACCAAATGTTTGATAACACGCGATCAAAAGTGTAAGCCCTCCTGTGAAAAATATTTCAATGGAACCTGGTAACCTTTGTAACGTTAGCTCACATTTCTTGAGCAGCTGAAACCAGTTTCCACTGACACCGGATGACGCACTGTGCCCCAATGACGCGACCACCCCCCACCCCCCAACCCGCTGCTCGTTCCCCCGGTCACTTTCCCCGATCGAATTCGATCCCCATAACTGCTCTTTGCGGCAGGCAATTTATGTTTAATTAAGCAATTCCCGAGAGCAATCGAAGATTGCAGTTGGTCAATTAGCATAGAAGGGAAACCAAAGATGCGACAATCTCCGACATTGGCAATCTTCGAATGGGGGTGGGATAGTTACATACATTCAGTGTGCGGGGTGGGGGCAGCGATTGAGTTTCCATTTTGATTGCGAAATGGAAAGCGGAGATTCGCTGGCAGTGGGGGAGAGTGCTCTGATAGTGGAGGGTTCCTGGGGTGGCGATCCAAGTGGAATCAGAATCAGAATCCCAAGTGGATGTGCAACTCACTTGGGCGGTTGCTCAACTATCCGCAGTCGGAGGATGGTATGTGAGGGTAAAGTCCGGGGGATGAGTGTTCCCTGATCTGAGTCAGCAGCGCAAACAATTATGCAGCCGCCCCGGAGGAAGGGCATCTGCCTGATGATAACACGAATCGGGGGACCCTTATTCGGTTGCGTAACAATATCTTGTTTATCTTTGAAATTATAGAGCCCGAGACTTTGGATGTAAGCTGATTACAGGGTAAGTTATAAGGCTAATTTTCTAAAAGCAATTCAAATAATATTGGTTCAACTTTCAAATTCAATAATAAAGTTTTAGAATCTAGTAAATAAACTTTGGATTGTGTATGAAAATATGAGAATACCTTTTCGGCTCACTACCAATTTTGATTTAAAATTTTCACTTGTGTAGAAAAGGCAGTGGAAAAAAGCCTTTCCTTTGAAATTATGCAAATCAAAAGGCATTTCATGCATCTCAAACTCCAACGAGCCGGAAAATTTTAATTAAATCGAGAAAACCCAGACTCTGAAATCAGAAACCAAATCAACTAGTCCCCCGCTTCCCTCTTTGTTCTTCCTGTTTGAGGCATGAGTTTTGACTTCACTTTTCACTGCTCTCAGGCCTCATTAAGTTTTACGTTTACTTTTGGAGCCCTCCCCTTAATTTGAAGTTGCTGTATTTATTATTAACGCGCTTGTTGTTTTTGCTATTCAAATTTAGCCGTAGAATGCATCTGCATGGAGTGAGTAAATAGAGGCGAGGGTCTGAGGGGAGCGGGGGGCCCTGCAGGTGCACACCAACTAGAGGCAATGAACAGTGGAGTAGTGCAGCAAAGAAGTGAAGATGTCACCGCAGGCAAACTTTTAACTTGCTCGACAAACAGACAAATCATCAAAGCCAGAAGGGGCACGGTGGAACAGCTGGCTTCTATCGTTTGCAAAAAGTGCAAATTTAAATGTTTGATACCAAAACTTTTTTTGTTGTTTAATTTGTGTTTACAAATTTTCTATAAAATGCTTTATTCTTTTTCACTAAATAATAATAATATTTTTAATATTATTATGTATTGTTATTGGATATTTTTTGCTCTTTTGCCTGAACAGTAAGATTACAACTTTAGTCCCACTGTGCGTGGAGGTGAGTGAGCAGGGAGCTGCAGTATCCCACTCCACAGGAGTGAGGGGGACCTGCATACATATGCAGCAGATCTTTTATGTGCGAGTGAGTGTGCCCCAACTACCGCTATGCAGGAGGCAGAGGACTTGACTCTAGCTCTCGCTCACTCACTCGCACTTCAACAGAAATAAATTCAGCCAAGTGCCACCCACCGACACACGCACACATCGATAGACGATAACAGCACTGAGCCCCATAAAGTGATAAAGCGATTACTCAATGGCCATTGCCTTTGAGTATAAGTTTTTTGAAAATATAATACGCAAAATGGATGAGCTGCCAAGCAAATCCCTTTGCTTTAACACATTTTACAATATCTGGGACAGCCCGCTATTTGCTTAGAATTTGAAAATTTGTAAGAACCCAAGGTAGACAAACAAAAAGTGGAAAACCACGATAAGACAAGAACGCATCCAAGCTGTCTTTGATAAGGAGTTTCTTTTGAATTCCGTATATGCTGTAAGGCATTTTCGCATTACAAAGGCCAAATTCGCCACCCAATGCCAACGACTAACTTATCTACCGCCCCATATTCCGAAAATTATCGCAGTTGATTACATTTTACCACCACCCACCGCACACCGCCCACCCGACCACGCCCCACCGGTATTATCGGGTACTCGCAACGATTTCGACAGTTAGTATACGCGCAAACACAAAAAAGGGCAGAGACAGAGGCAAACATGTGTAAATAACAAGTGCAAACACTGGGGAGCTCCATTCGAGTGTTAACGAGTGAGATTCCCAGTTCCACTCGGTCTACCTGAAGTAGTAGTACCTGTGCCCTGTACCTGTCGTATCTATTGATCAGCGGTGAAAAGGTCAACAAAGCGGGAGCCATAAAAAATTCACACGTATTCGAAGCGGGTCGCGATTAGATATTTCATGGTCACTGCCAATGAATTGGGATTTGTCTCAGTGTACACAGAGAAGAAAACAGGTTTACAAATATACTCGAAGCAATATCATATGCAATTTCTTTCTCAGCATGATCACCTTTTTCTCCCAGTGTGTTGCAGTTGCACGTGAGAGAGGGACAGGCGGAGGAGAGAGAGACAGATGATGGAAAACAGGTTTTCGTTTCAAGAGCAAATCTCAGAATTTTATGCTAGTGTTGAATGAGCAGGATGAAATGGAAAGAAAAACGAAATTACAGAGAGAGAGAGGGAGGATCAGCGACGGCCGCGTGTGCAAGCGAGAAGGTGCAACAAGTTTTACCGTAGCAACGCAGCAGGGGGCACACATGCGGCGAAATGAGAGGGAAAGAGGGGGCGGGGTTCTGGAAAGGAGCGCCCAACAGTTCATAAAGTTTTCCTCTATGCTTGTTTACAAAGCACTTTGTTTAAACATTCTTGGCCAGCCATATTCCAGCTAATTTATCGCTTTAATAGCTTCCACAACTTACCAATGCCGAATTCTGCCTGCTTGGCATTGCAATCGCTCCACACACTCATCTTGAAGGCTTTTCTTCTCCGCGCTGCTGTTGTTGTTGTTGATTCAGCGCCGACTTTTACCAGCGATCACCACTCACACATGCAAAGCGGTAGACTTTCGTTTGCGAAAATAAAAACAACAAGACACAAAATTAGGCAACCGAAAAGAGCAACACGTAGTTGGAATTTCGATTTCGTTTTCACAATGCCGCCAACACCAGCATTTCGACTCGGATTTCGCTGTGGACTTTGACGAACACCGGGGAATCGAAGTAACTATTGCACAAAGCCTGCATTCCGCGCAATTGTCGCTGCTAATGCATTTTGCGTTGTTTTCGCTCGTTTTGTTCTCGATTTGGGAGTTGGCCGCGCTCAGCTAATTATCTCCGCTCATGGACTCGCACACGCACTCGAACACACACTCGTGCGCTCGGCTCACAGTTAATTAATTTAGCGCTCTCGGAGGAAAGCCGCGCGCTCCGTTCCGACCGTTTGTTGTTGAATGGGCGGTTTGGGGAGGTTTCTGGTTGCGTCGGTTTGATGGTGGTGGCCGATGAAAACATCGATTGTGGTTCGAACTCGAGTTTGGGGAAATATCGATGTTCCACTGCGACAATCGGTGCTTTCCCATCACTAAAAATGTTAAGTTTTCGTGATCACTGATGCAAAATTCTTGCATCATGATTATTAGTCATGTGCGTTCAGCAGAACTATCGTAAGAAATCAATCAGTGATCAGTGATCATGTTGTTCTGCTGAACGCGCACATTATCACATCAATATAATATACAGGGGTTGTCAAAAGTATTTGCACTAAATAGTAATTACACGTACTTACTCGTAAGAAATGTGCAAATACTTTTGACCACCGCTGTAATTCCGATAACACATGTAATAAGTGATCACTGATGGATTTTTTTACGAAATATGTGCAGAGCGCACAACGATTTTTGCATCGTGATTAGTAGAAAACAAAGAATTTGCAGTAAAAACATCATTCCACTGCAGATGCAGAATTTAGATTATTTTTTTAACAAATTTAAATATTTTGCCGACAGTTTAGATTTATCGAGTGCCTCCAAGCCCGTGCTAGTGTGCAAGGGCTGTTAAATGTTGTGCTGTGGTCACACCAAATTTATAAAACTGTGACTTGGTGGGAAAGTCACACAATTTGACATCAGAAATTAAATTCAAGTATATATAAACAGTCATTATTCAGTAATAAATTTCATTTGTAATTACGCTCTTTTATAAGCTTTATAAACTCTTTTAAGGTCTTAGATTGCCAGAGAGTTATCCTCACTCTTCACTTCTTGTAGCAGTGTATTGTACTTTGGCGCTTCGCCCTCCGCCACTTTGGTCACACTCCCCGGGCTGCATTTTTCCAATCCAACATCGTGAAAAAAAATCGGCGCGCCATTTCTGTCCACCGTTTTGCGTTGCTCCGTTTCTGCAGACTTGACAATTCGCGAGTGTTTATTTGTTCAAGCGGAGCCCGCCCCCGCGCTCGAGCACCCACAAAGGCCCCACCGCCCCTTAGATTGAGCAACGTGGTGAAATCGAAGCATTGCTCACTGCGATCGAAGGACAAAGGGGACTCACCAATTATATGTGCATTCGGATCTAAACAGTGAGCAACATGTTTGGTGGCGCGAAACCCAGCTTCGGCACCACTCCGGCGGCCACGAGCTTCGGCGGCTTCAGCGGCACCACGACAGCCACTCCGTTTGGCCAGGCGGCGTTCGGGAAGCCGGCGGCTCCGGCCTTCGGGAACACCTCCACCTTTGCCGCCCAGCCGGCGCAGCAGTCGCTCTTCGGAGCAGCGGCCACGCCGGCGCAGCCCGCGGGAGGATTATTCGGAGCCAACACTTCCACGGGCTTCGGGAGCACCGCCGCCGCCCAGCCCACGGCATTTGGAGGTTAGAGACGATCATTGGATTGCATTTCTGGTCACTAAAGCTATAACTTTCTTTGCAGCCTTCTCGCAACCGCAGCAGACCTCGAATATATTTGGATCCACCCAGACGCCCTCGAGCACCTCCCTCTTTGGCCAATCCACGCTGCCCGCCTTTGGAGCCGCTAAGCCCACGATGACCGCCTTTGGACAGACGGCGGCTGCCCAGCCGACGGGCTCCTTGTTTGGCCAGCCGGCTGCGGCGACCAGCACGACGGGATTTGGATCATTTGGCACCACGGCGCCGGCAACTACAAGCGTCTTCGGCAGCGGCACCGCCTCGGCCTTTGCCCAGCCACAATCCACCGCCGTCGGGGCCTCGGGAGTCAATCAGGGCACAGCGGTGGTCAAGTACCAGCCCACCCTGGGCACCGATACGCTGATGAAGAGCGGGCAGCCCAATAATGTCAACACCAAGCAGCACTGCATCACGGCCATGAAGGAGTACGAGGGCAAATCGCTGGAGGAGCTGCGTCTGGAGGACTACATGTGCGGGCGGAAGGGTCCGCAGGCGGGCAGTGCTCCTGGGGCCTTTGGATTCGGCGGTCAGGTGGCGCAGCCTGCCCAGCCAGCGGCAGGTGGACTTTTTGGCAGCACTGCTCAGCCGAGCACGGGACTTTTTGGTCAAACGGTGACGGAGAATAAGAGCATGTTTGGCAGCACCGCCTTTGGGCAGCAACCGGCGACCAATAGCGCTTTTGGGGCACCTGCCCAGCAAAACAACTTCCTGCAGAAGCCCTTTGGAGCCGCGACCACCACACCATTTGCCGCCCCAGCATCAGACGCTTCGAATCCCTTCGGGGCCAAGCCCACCTTTGGCCAGGGAGGAAGTCTCTTTGGACAGGCACCGGCGACCAGTGCAGCTCCTGCCTTCGGACAAACGAATACTGGGTTTGGGGGCTTCGGCTCTACGGCAGGCGCAACGCAGCAGACCTCGCTATTCGGAGCCACACCCGCCGCGGATCCAAATAAGTCTGCCTTTGGATTGGGCGCCGCTCAGCCCGCAGCCACGCCAGGATTCGGATTCGGAGCTCCGGCCACGAGCACCGCAGGCGGCGGACTCTTCGGCAGCAAGCCCGCCACAAGCTTCGCAGCGCCCGCTTTTGGAGCCACCTCCACGGCAAGTACGCCGTTCTCAAACTTTGGCATGAACACGAGTACGGCAGGAACAGGAGGAGGACTCTTCAACTCGAGCATGAACAAGCCGGCAACGTCGGGATTCGGAGGATTTGGAGCCACCAGTGCAGCACCACTTAATTTCAATGCAGGCAACACGGGCGGATCGCTTTTCGGGAATGCGGCCAAGCCGGCAGGAGGTTTGTTCGGAGGAGGAACCGCCACCTTGGGAGGCACGGGAGCTGCACCGACAGGAGGATTATTTGGAGGCGGTACTAGCAGTTTCGGAGGCGTCGGCGGTTCGCTGGGCGGCGGTGGCTTTGGCATGGGAACAAATAACTCCTTGACTGGCGGTCTTATGGGCGCTCAACCTACCATTGGCATTATGACGCCCTCGCACCAGCCCATCCATCAACAGATCCTGGCCAGGGTGACCTCGCCCTACGGCGACTCGCCCATTTTCAAGGATCTGAAGCACAGCGACGAGGCGGACGCCACCAGGGCCACAAATCCGGCTGCCCAGCAGGCAGTGCTGGACATGAGCAGCAACCAGTACAAGATTGCCACCAAGAACAGTCCGGCGCCCGTGAAGGTGAAGGCGCTGGGCAGCACGCTGAACAGAAAATCCTTGTTCGATGGCCTCGAGGAGTTCGATGCCACGGTGGAGGGCTTTAATTTGAAGCCCAATGCCAAGCGGTTGGTTATCAAGCCCAAAGTAAAGAATGTGGAGAGCGGAAATCCCTCCAACTCGATTGGCAGTGCGCCCAACACGCCGCAGTCTCGCCCCAAAGTGGCTACTCCTGGCAAGGAACGCGAATCCTTCAGCGGAGTTATACCTACTGAACCACCACCACCGGCAGGAAACTCACCTGGCGCGGTTAATGGTCGAGATAGCCAGGATATCAGAGGCCGCGAGTCGTGGCTGCATCCCAACAACCTGGAGAAGGTGCGCCAGCATAATATTCAGACCGGAATGGACCAGGGATCGCCGCATAACAGCACCCTCAACGAACTGGTGCCGCGCAAGCCACTGGATACCTACCGACCTTCGTCCACCGTTCGCCTCTCGGTGTCCACTATCCCAGAGAATCCGTTTGAAGATCAGTCTAGCACTATTGCTCGAAGGGAAACATTTACATCGGAGCAGGCCAATGAGAGCGTGCTCTCCAGCAGGTCCCACGAGGCCGAGGATTCTACCGCCAACCGATCGCGTCTTGCCATTGAGGCAGCTGCTGCCGAGGCGGCCGACTACGAGGCCCATCCCACCGGCATTGTGCTGCGACGTGTGGGCTACTATACGATTCCATCGCTGGACGACCTGCGCTCCTACCTGGCCGAAGACGGATCCTGCGTGGTCCCGAACTTCACTGTGGGTCGCGAAGGATACGGCAATGTTTTCTTCGGCAAGGAGATGGATGTGGCCGGGCTGAACATCGATGAGATTGGTAATATAACCGTTTTTTTATATTTATATCCGTTACTTGTAGAGTAAAAGGGTATATTGTACATTAGTCATGTCCGTCTGTCTGTTTGAACACTGAGATCTTGGAAACTACAAAAGCTAGGAGGTTGAAATTTCTCACACAAATTCTTGGGCTTCCTACGCAGCGCAAGTTTATTTCAGCCGGGCGCCACGCCCACAATCGCCCACTAACGATTTTAAAATGTGTTTGGCGGCCACACCTTTAAGAAATTCCGAGAAGTATAAATGCAATTTTGTTGTGTATATTTATACCTAACGAAATGTAAAAAGTTATGCGCAATCAAAAACATTTTATATAGCTAAGTGACGGGTATTAGATAGTCGGGACACAATCCCGACTCTCTTGTTTTTTTAACATAAATATCTAACTAATTATGATTTGTATCGCCACTCTTTCCAGTCCACTTCCGCAACAAGGAGATCATCATTTATCCCGACGACGACAACAAGCCGCCCATTGGACACGGCCTGAACCGAGATGCACAGGTCACCTTGGACCAAGTGTGGCCCCTGGACAAGACCAAGCACGAGGCGATCAAGGAGCCGCAACGCCTGCTCGAGATGGATTGGGAGGGCAAGTTGCGCCGGGTGTGCGACAAGAACGATACGCGCTTTATTGAATACCGTCCCGAGACTGGCAGTTGGGTCTTCCGCGTCAAGCACTTCTCTAAATACGGCCTGGGCGACAGTGACGAGGAGGACGAGGTGCCCACCGACCCGAAAAAGGCCAAAATGGCGGCACTCGAAGCCCAGCAGCGGGCTAACGTAGAGAAGATGACTCTCAACTCGCTGCGTCAGGCTCAGAAGATTTCGGAGGACGCAGCTCGTAACTTGGATCCAAAGGCCTTGGTCGCTGGAGTAGCCAGCGGATTCCGGCCAATGGACGATACCGCCGAGTTCCTTTTAATGGACAAAACACGTAAGTAGATACTTTACATTAACATCTGTAGTTTGATTCGATGTAATTTGGTTTATCTCGATTTGCAGAATTTTTCCAAGCCGGCGGCAACTCGGATTTCTCCATGTTTGATGCACCGCGTCATCGTCCAAATATCACCAGCCCCACAGCCGTTCTGGCTCAGGATATGGTTGGCAATGAGCCGCACAAAATGCAGCTGATGAAGTCGTCCTTTTTTGTGGATGACAATGCCTGCGAGGATGAGCCCATGGGTAGGTGGACAATCTCTTGATGTCAATAAATCAAGGAATGCAAATAAGGCAAAAACTGTATTACTCAGAATTTGTATATTTATCGTAGTGTTTAATTTTCGAGCTAAATATGTATTGTTAGCTTTCAACGAGATTTAATGGTTTTTGATCGTTGTCAATATCAATATTTATTCAAATGTTAACGTTCTAAAAGTATTACATATTTATTACAAATAAATAATAAAGTTTACAAAGGCTTTTCTCTTAACAAACTCTCAAAAAATCTATAACCTTTGCCTAGTTCAACGACAAATCATTATCATTAAAACTATACCACTACATATCATTTAAAAATCACTACACAATCACTATACATTTGAATATACTCATGAATCTCTACAGAGCCACCTGGACGTCTTCTTCGTAATCGCAAGTTTTTTAATGTGGAACCCAACGCCTGGAAAGATGGCGCTTCCGAGAGCTCGAGTCAATATGATTTTAAACAACCATCTCCTGCTCTGCCGGTCTCTTCCTCTGTTTCCGAGGACAGCCTGATTTTACAATACGAGGAGGTACATTTCAAAACCCATTACCCCGAACCCCATTAATCATCCCCACGAATTTCAGACCTCGTCGATGGCAACTGGTAGCATTGTCACAGCTGTTAAGGATAAAAAGGCAGAGCTGCCTGTCGCCAAAGCCTTCAAGTTTGTGTGCAAGCCTAAAGTGGCTCCGGTTAAGGTGCATGCCACAACGGTTCCCTTGCCCAGATCCATTGCCCATGAAATGCGCCACAAGTGGATCGCCGATCTGGGATTCTACAAAGGACGCAGCTTCAAGCTCAGTTTTGGGCCGCAGAACTCTTTGGTGCTGCCGAATACATTCAACAATATGCGTAACCTAAAAGAATGTGAGTACTTATATAAAATTGGACCTCTAAAAAACGGTCAGTAGGAAATTTCACCCAGAACGGATTGACATAAAAATCTATAAAAAATCACATTAATTACTAAAATAATATCTAATAATTTCCCTTCCTTTAGTTACTGGACCAGCCCTTCCAGCCTCCATGGTTTTCGCGCCTCGCCTACCCACCGACATGTCACCCAATGTAATGCAACTGGTGCAGTTTAACATGGTCAAGGGCAGCGAGGGAATTTGCGAGAGCATCGTTCCCCATCTGGAGGTCCAGCTAAGCGACTGCCTCTCCGTTCAGGTGGAGGGCAGTGAGTGCCCGTGGATTCATCCCGACAGCGGCACAAAACTGGTTTCAAAGCACTTCTCCGAGTCGCTAAAGCAGAGAAATGCTGGCCTCAAGGAAGACTACGCCGTGTCCGTGTGGTCGCTTCTTTTCGCCCTCTGGGGCGATCATGATGAGCTGGTGGACCTGGAAAAGAACTCCCACTACATGGTCATGTGTCGGCGCAATTTGCTTTCCGAGTGGCTTGAGAATACGCTGATGAGCAAGGATCTGCTGTCCAGGAAGGTGAGCAGCCACAGCTACCTGGATCACATGTTGGAGTTGCTCAGCTGCCACCGTGTAAATGAGGCTTGTGAGTTGGCCTTCAACTACGATGATGCTAATCTCGCACTCGTGCTGGCGCAACTCAGTTCTGGAGCCGTTTTCCGACTGCTGATGGAGGAGCAGCTTTTTGCCTGGCAGCAGAGCAAGTCGGATAAATACATCGACCTGGAGCGTCTCAAGATGTACATGCTTGCCGCCGGAGTGCCCATGATGCAGTCTTCCAAGGGGGCTATCAATTTGCTGGAGGACAACAACTGGCTGACAGTGCTGGCCATGCAACTGTGGTACTTCACAGCCCCGACCTCCACCATCACGGATGCCCTCAATGCTTATAACAACGCCTTCCAGGCGGAGGAGTGTTACGCCGAGCCACCAAAGCCCAGCTACGAGGGCGCACCCACTGAAACTAAGAAACCCGTCTACGACCTGCGCTACCACTTGCTTCAGCTGTACTCCAAGCGAACGCATTCCCTGGAGGAAAGCCTCAATCCGATTACACACACCGCCGATCCCATGGACTTTCGTTTGAGGTGAGGTTAAGGATTTTTTCACGGTTCGGAATTTGACACACATGTTAAAAACATGAAAAATTGTATTTTACAGTGTGAGCAAAGTTGTTATTTGCACTTAAATGTCAAAAACTCATTGTGTTAAAAACACGCTGTGTAAAAAACACGTCGTGTAAATAACACAAATGACATGTGTGTGTTATTTATGTTGTTTCTAACATATGTAGACTACAATTTTTAACACACATATCAATAACTTTTTGAACTTATCACTTTGACATTTAACATGTTAATAACACAAGTTATTTACAGTGTGTGTTATTTTACGACCCCTGGATTTTTTGAAATAACTTATGTATGCAATACTAATTTATTTTTTCTAACTTTCAGCTGGCTGCTACTACAAACTCTGCGAGCTCTTGGCTACCGCCACTGTTCGCCTTTGACGGAGGCGCGCCTCTCGGTGGATTTTGCTAGCCAGCTGGAGAACGAAGGCCTCTGGCAGTGGAGCATCTTTGTTCTGCTGCACATTAAGAGACGACCCCAGAGGGAACGAGCTGTCCAGCAGATGCTTCAACGGAATGTCAGCGTGTCCGCGAAGGTACCTCTAAATGCGGAAGAGCGCTTTGTGGTCGAAGAGTTGGGCATTCCGATGTCGTGGGTGGACTATGCGAAGGCGGTAAAGGCGGGAGCATCAGGAAAACATCATCTTCAAGCGAAGTACCTCCTAAAGGCTAAACATTTTGCCCCAGCGCACGACGTCATCTTCCAACACATTGCTCCCGATGCGATTATAAACGGTTAGTTGAATACTTAAATCTCTGATTTAAATCTCGATCTTTAATAATTTCCCCTACTTCAATTTGCAGGAAAAATGGAGTACCTGCACAGCCTGCTCATTCAGTTCGAGGACACCAAGGGCAGTAGCATCCGAGTGCCCAACTGGGCCAACCAGGGGCAGATCTTCCTGGACTACATCGACATCAGTGCCAAGTTCAAACAGATCCGCAATGTGACCAACATTGCGGACATAAATGCGCGATGGGAAAACCTGAAGCCGCAGCTCAGCGAACTCTGCTCGCGCATCAGTCTGCTGCCCTGTCCCACCTCCAAACACCGTCTGTGCCAGAGTGAGATCTCGCAGAGCCTCAGTTGTTTGGTGCACGGCATGTGCATTGTCTGCCCCGAGATGGAGCCATCCTCAGTGCTCAAAGTGGCCCTGGAACGACTGCCGCTGCCGCAGGAGTTCTCCTCGAAGGAGCTGCGCATCTTGCTGGAGGAGCTGCTGGAGAAGATCGAGAACGAGCCACCATTCAGCGAGAAGCAACGGCCCACCATGATGGAGACATAGAAGAGAAAAGATACAATGTTTAGTTTAGGTTTGAATTAATTTAGAAGTAATCAATTGATTAGCATTTCCCTCGCAAAAGCAAGAAGGCCAGCTGTAGGATAGGTTCGAGTACGGCATCATTCATTCATGACTGCTTCATAGTTAAAAACGTTTTGTCAGAAAAGACCAGAAGAATTCGATTTTTTGTTGATTTGTTTAATTGATTTTATTTTGATCGCTCTCTCGGTCGAAATTCTTAAATTTAGTGTTATAAGAAAGTAAATAAAGTGTGTTTTTAACAACGATAATTTGAAATCCGATAGGGAAAGCTGTTTCTATCGAAAGCTCTGCGAGAAACCAACCTGATCCCACAAGCTACAAAGCTAGATCAGTTCGCATACGGTCGCTAATAAGACCACAAGTATTTACTCTCTGCAAAAAGGGTACCTGTTGTATCTAGTAACCAACTATTCCCGGTAGTCATGGCCGAAACCCCTGCTGCTCCCGCTCCCTGGTGTGGACGTGGTTCCAAGCCCCGCACCTTTAAGAAGCACTCCCCAGTGGTCTGCTATGATAAACCAGAGGCATCGATTGTTTCGAAGGCGGAATACGATGTAAGTTTAGTGGGGTTTATCTATAAATCATTCGGGAGATAAGTTATCTTTTGGGGATTACAAACACTTTTTCTTCGGGTCTCTCGGTTAAATAATTTCGACTATCTTGAAGTTTAAGACTCATTATTCTTTAGATGATAAGCATAAATTAATTGATCAGTTAAGTTATACCCTCTATTAAGTTATACCCTTTTTCTATCCCTAAAAATCGAAAAACTAATCTCTCGGTAAAATGATTTCGACTATCTTGAAGTTTAAGACTCATTCTTCTTTAGATAATAAGCATAAATTAATTGATCAGTTAAGTTATACCCTCTATAGTCTACTTTCTATCCCTATAAATCGGAAAAACTTTAATATATTTCAGGATAAACGCTATCAGGCTCTGACTGGGGATTTTAGACTCATTCTTCTTTATATGATAAGCATAAATTAATTGATCATTTAAGTTATACCTTCTATAGACTACTTCCTATCCCTATAAATCGGACAACGAATTGTACTGGTATAATATATATATATATATATATCTATATAATATTATGGTATAATATTATAATTTCAGGATAAACGCTATCAGGCTCTGACTGGGGATCTGGTGGAGACGCTGGTGGTGCCCAAGCGGGAGGCTCGCACCTGGACGATGCAGGCGGGCGATCTGTGCCGCGTCACCGTCCACGAAGGTGCCCAGGTGGGCGACATGAACTTCTGGAACCTGGACAACACCGCCGAGCGCTTCTACTCGGGCAAGACGCGGCAGCTGCACTCGTCGCACCTGCGCGTCTACGATCGCCTGTGGAGCTGCCTGCCCCACCTGCGTCCCATGGCCACCTTTGTGTTCGACTCCCTGGCCGCCTACGGCATCGACGACGATGGTGGCGCCCTGCACGACGTGATTGGAACTCGGTGCGACGACTACACCTACAAGCTGATCACGGGCAAGGATCGGGTGGGCAGTTGCCACAGTTCCCTGGTCAAGGCGGTGGTGGAGGAGCGCGGACTGACGGAGCAGGACGTGCACGATGTGTGGAACATCTTCATGTGCACCGGATTCACCCGGGAGACGCAGCAGTACTTCTGCAAGGCGAGTCCCGCCCGCAAGGGGGATTTCATTGAGTTTGTGGCCGACATGAATCTGCTGGTGGCCTTAAGTGCCTGTCCCCAGGGCGATGTCTCCATCCAGGTGGGCGCCGAGGTGCCGGACGACAAGTGCCACCCCCTCAAGGTGGAGGTGTTCCGCCGAAAGTAACCGAAGCCAAACCCAAACCCATTTGGGTCCCGTGTGGAGAAACCTGATTCGAACACAGTGCCATTTATGTAAACAGTGGATTAGAGATGAGCAAGATGTCAAATAGTGACGAATTTTCATACACTTGTTTACAAATATATTATTAAACATTGAATTATTGCAAAATCTATGGAGTTTTTATTTAAGAAGGTATGGTTATGTAAATATATTTGGACAAAAATATCAAGTTGAGGGATGGGTTATAGAGGTTTTAATTAAGGTCTAAAATTAATCCACATATTTATTTACTTTACACTTTAAATAATAATAATTAGAGCTAAAGCTGATAACCTATAATATTTAATCTTAATCACAAAATTTAAACGGTTTAATTTCACCACAAAAATTAAATATGGAATTATTGGAAAATCTTTTTGTTTTTTACTTAAGAAGGTATGGTTATGTAATTATATTTTGAAAAATAAGGTCAAGTTGAGTGATGGGTTATTGAGGATTTAATTAAGGTCTTGAATAAATCCACATATTTATTTACTTATCAATTATAATAATTAAAGCAAAAGCTGATAACCTATTATATTTAACCTTAATCCCAAAAATTTAAACGCTTTGATTTCACCACAAAATAGGTGAAATTCGGAACGCGGGTGAGTCTCGATTCCTAGGGTGACCAGTCTATCGAATTGTTCTGCCGACTTTGTTATTGTCTTTTCGCTTGACTTCTTGGCAAATTCTAAACAAACTTAATTTCGCCAGGACAAACGATTAAAATGAGTGAGATTAGGGGCGAGGAGAACCTGGAGCGGCTGCGCAACTACATCCTGCGTCCGGAGTTGTCGCTCCACAATCCGCTGCCCGATGTTTTGCCCCGCCAATTCGATGCGATGCGCCTGTTGCATGTGCCCCGCTGCCCGGGGAGCACCAAGTTGGCTCCTCGCCGGGATCAGAGTGGCCAGATACTGGAGTTCGTGGAGGTGGATGTGGAGGATGTGGGCGCCAATGCCAACAACTCGATGTCCATGCAGCGGGAGCCCGGTTTGCTGGAGGAGGCGACGCGTGGCTCCCACTCGAATTTTCCCTTTTGGCCGGGCGGCTTTGATGAGCAGCGCCAGCAGATCGCCGCCCTGGATGTGGATAACTTCCAGTTGGGGGACAAACTATTGTCTGTGCCTCCGGGCTTCAGTTCTGGTCACGATTTTTCCCAGTCGCAGCCTGCTGTATCCTCACTGCCACCTGTTGTCCCCGATCCCAGCAATGTGGACCTGTTGCAGAACCTAGAGCAGGATCTGGACGTCCAGGAGTGGATGAAGCTTACCCGCACAGAGGAGACAAGCTCTGCTGGTCTACCCCAAACTCCCAGGCAATTTCCCACCGAGGAGTTCCAGGATTTAGACGATCAGATCATGAAAACCGACCTAAAGCCAGTGCTCAACATCTCTACGACTACCAAAACCTTCAAGAGCGACTGGGCCGAGATGGTGGACATCAGCCATCCGATCAACGACTTCAAGCAGCAGATTCCCTGTCCGGCCATGGATTTCCCCTTCGAGCTGGACGTCTTCCAGAAGCAGGCCATTCTCAAGCTGGAGCAGCGGCAGTATGTCTTCGTGGCGGCCCACACATCGGCCGGAAAAACGGTGGTAGCCGAGTACGCCATCGCCCTGTCCAAGCGGGATCTCACCCGCACCATCTACACGTCGCCAATTAAGGCGCTGTCCAATCAGAAGTACCGCGATTTCCGCAAGACCTTCAAGGATGTGGGTCTCATAACGGGCGACCTGCAGATTGAGCCCACCGCCTCCTGCCTCATCATGACCACCGAGATCCTGCGCTCCATGCTGTACTGCGGTAGCGAGGTGACCAGGGATCTGGAGTGGGTAATCTTTGATGAGGTGCACTACATCAATAATCCGGAGAGGGGTCATGTTTGGGAGGAGGTCATCATCCTGCTGCCGGATCATGTCAACATCATAATGCTGAGTGCCACGGTGCCGAATACCATGGAGCTGGCCGACTGGGTTGGCAGCACCAAGAAGAGAAAGGTGTATGTGATTAGTACCCTAAAAAGACCGGTTCCCCTGACGCACTTCCTCTACACTGGAGCCGGTGGCAAGAGTCGCGACGACATCTTCCTGCTGGTCGACGCCCAGGGGAAATATCTGCAGGGCAACTACGAGAAGGCCGTGGAGCGCAAGAAGGAGATGCAGGGCAAGGCGAAAGGAGGAGGTGGAGGTCCCAAGAACTACGTGAATGCCAAGCAGGAGCAGTACACCTGGATCGGACTGATTGACTTCCTGCGGCGCAACAACAAGATGCCCGTGGTGGCCTTCACCTTGTCCCGAAATCGCTGCGACTCCAATGTGGCTGCCCTGCAGTCGGTGGATCTGAACACGGAGAAGGAGAAGGGCGCTGTGCAGAAGTTCTTCCTGCAGTGCCTGGCCAAACTGAAGCCGCCAGACCGCACTATTCCCCAGGTTTTGGTACTCAAAGACGCCTTGGAGCGCGGCATTGGGGTGCATCACAGCGGCATCCTGCCCATTCTCAAGGAGATCGTGGAGATGCTCTTTCAGAATGGACTGGTGAAGCTGCTCTTTGCCACCGAAACCTTTGCCATGGGTGTTAATATGCCCGCGCGGACGGTTGTCTTTGATTCCTGCAAGAAGTTTGATGGTCTGGAGATGCGGAATTTAAAGCCAGGAGAGTACATCCAAATGGCCGGCAGAGCAGGAAGACGTGGTCACGATGAGACGGGCACAGTGATCATCCTTTGCAAGGGTAACGTCCCACCGTCGATGGAGCTGCGGCCCATGATCCTCGGCCTGCCTGAGAAACTGCAATCGCAGTTCATCCTGCGCTATGCCGTGATCCTCACCTGCCTGCGCATCGAGAGCATCAAGGTGGAGGATATCATGCAGTTCAGCTTCAAGGAGTTCAACCAGAAGCTGCAGCTGCCCACGCAGCAGAAGCAACTGCGCCTGGCCGAGGACAAGTTCGCCATGCTGCCAACTCTCGGCGAGCACCTGCAGCCGCTGGTCAACTTCTACGACAAGGCCGTGGAGTACTGGAAGGAGAAGCACCGCATCATGGTGGGTCATTGATCGAAGATTAGTGTTGGGTAAAAACTGCTCATTTGGGTGAACATGTTCACTTGTTCTTTTTTCCCTAATGAGTAAACACTTGTTCATTGTTCATTGTTCACTTGTTCACTTGCTCACTTGTTCTGTCCTTAACTTTTTCATTGGCTCTGAGAAAACAGCTCATTGTCTGTAAAACCGTATGCAAAATGCATCCTAAAAGTAAAAAAAATACTTTTTGTGCCAAAAACAGCAAGAGAGCAACTGAGCAAGTGAACTAATAAGAGAGCCAAACTGAACAAGTGAACTAAAAAGATCAAATAAGAGAGCCAAACTAAAAAAGTGAACAAAAAAGAGCAAATAAGTGAGCCAAACTGAACAAGTGAACCAAAAAGAGCAAGTAAGAGAGCAAAAATGAACAAGTGAACACATAAAGAACAAGTTGGAAGGAACATGTTCACTCACTCAGTTTAGTGAGCAGCTCTTTTTTGTTCACTCACTCATGAGCAACTCAACACTATCGAAGACAGCAACATATTGTGTACTTAACCTAATCCTTTTTTTTCAGAAATTCATTGTAACCCAGCCGAAGATCCAGAAGGAGCTGAAAGTTGGCCGCGTCATCGTGATCACCCAGGGAAAGCACTACAATAAGCTGGCCATTCTACTCAACACAAAATCCGTGCCAGGCAAGGATACCGTCTATAAAGTGCTAGTCCTAGACCATCAGTTCAAGGCCAAGGACAGCGACAGCCTCCAGCGGGGCGAACTCTACTACAAAATACTCTCCCTGACGCTCAAGAACAAATTCTTCCAGCCCGAGGGCATCGGCGGACACACTGTTCTAGACATCAAGGCCATGGACATTATAAGCATCACCAAGAACTCGTTTAAAGTGGATGCGGATGTTATAATCCGAAACTGGGAGCAGCGGCAGCTGGAGCGCTTCAAGGACACGCCGCCCGGTGGAACGGTGGTCAAGGCTGTGACCGAGCTGCATCAGCTGAATGAGAGTTATATCGCCAGTCCGGAGAGCATCAAGTACGTTAATTTGTCCAAGGAGATTAACGTGAACGCAGACAGCGAGGTGGCGATGCTGAACTACGTGGATCACCTGTGCCGCCAGGTGGGAGATTTGCTTCCCCACACGAATATCGCTGGCTTCGAACAGGAGTTCGCCAAGGTCTACGAGCGGCGGATGCTGGAGATCCACATCGAGGAGTTGCGCTTCAAGAACTCGGCCAAGAATCTGACCCTCTATCCGGACTACTGCAACAAGCTGCAGGTTCTCCGGGCTCTCAAATACATAGACGAACTGGACGAGGTCACGCTCAAGGGAAAGGTGGCCTGTGAGATGGGCCAGAACGAGCTGCTGATCACTGAGCTCATTCTGTGCAATATGTTTAATGATTTAGAGCCGGCTGAGATAGCCGCCCTGCTCTCCGGCCTCGTCTTCCAGGCGAAGATCCAGGGCGAACCGGTCATTCCGGAGCCCCTAAAGAAGTGCGTGGCGGACTTTGAGAAGATCAATGATACCATTCTTGCTGAGGAGCAGCGCTTCCAGGCTGCAATCGAGGCGGAGAATCGTCTCAACTTCGGCCTGCTCGAGGTGGTCTATGAGTGGGCCAGAAATAAGGTAACTAACTATCTTTTAGAGCCCTGCATGAATGGATTCAATGAATTATTTGAAATTTTTTGTTTTATATGAATGAGTTAATTAGAATTTTGGAGTTTAATAGAATTGAATGAATTCAAACGAAAATTTCTTTAGAAGAAGAATGGGCCATAATTTTGTGATTAGATCTGCACGAATTTTATTTACTAAGCAGTTAATATTGATTAGTTAAAAAATTTACATTTTTTGTTCTCAAAAGAAAGCAAAAAAAAAATTTGGCAAATTCAAAAAATTTATAAAAATTATTCATTTATTCATTCAACTCAAAATAGATCAGAAATACATTCAATTTATTTCGCGTTGGCTCTTTGGCCCATTTTCATTGAATTTGGCTCTTTTTTGCTATAATAGCGATAAAAAATATTTTAAACTTGAAAAAGACGAAGTAATTTTTTTATTGATGCATTTTTTTTTGCAATTTTAAAAGAGATTAATGTCTGAAACCCAGATCGAAACTAAATTGTTCCGCTGGTATGGTAATTTGGTATATGGTAATTTGGTATATGGTAAAAATTTGGCTCTTTTTTATTCAAATTGGCTCATAAACATTTTTTGAAGTGGCAACCGTGCATAGAATTGAATTAAACAAATCAGAAATTTCATGGCATACTATGATAAAACAAAAATTGAATGATTCACGCAGGGCTCTACTATCTATTTACTAAGATGTATTCCATATAATTTACTAATTAAACTGATTTACAGCCCTTTGCTGAGATTATGAAGCTGACTGAGGTGCAGGAGGGCATCATTGTGCGGTGCATCCAGCAGCTGGACGAAACCCTCCGTGATGTTAAGACGGCCGCCATTCGGATTGGCAATCCTGGACTGCAGTCCAAGATGGAAGAGGCGTCGGCGGCCATCAAGCGCGACATTGTATTCACCGCCTCCCTGTACACGGAACTTTAGGCGGTGGAAAGGAAAGACGAGACAGAAATGTGATTTCTTACATCTATAAATTATGCACGTGTGTCAATTACAATTCCAAAGGATACTTATAAAAAAATGTAAAAATATTTATGTGCAACGCGACGCAGGAAGGCGGAGGTGGTCGGTCTGGCGATAGTGATAGTGAGGGATCGGCGCCGCGCTGGGAAGCAATATTATCGCGACTCTGGCTTGAACTTGGGCGGCACCATCATGCCGGTCATGTGCTTTTGTTTCTTGGCCTTCTTCTTTTTCCCGGCGCCCGACTGGAAGTCATGCCAGCTGTTCACGCGGCTCTGGCGCGACTCCTCGAAGTTCTGCTGCCACTCGCGGTCCGCCTTGATCCGCTCCTCCTCCTCGATCTCCCCCTCGCGCTTCCTCTTGCGCTCCTCCTGGTCGCGCTGGTCGAGCTTCTGCCGCCGGCGCTCCATGTCGGCGAACAGCTTCATGACCATCACGTAGATGGCGTGCTTGTACTTGGTGGGATCATCCTCGGGTATTGGCTCTGTGGGCCGACCCTCCTTTTTCAGCTTTTTTCGCTTCTCTGCAATCTGAAAGGCAAACGAAATGTTTAATAAAACGTTGTTGATTATGAGAAAGCAGCTCTTAGAAGGGCGGATTTTATTTGTAGAATGTAGATAATAACTACTAGTTATCTACATAATATGTAGAAAGAAATCAGCTCTTAAAAGTGGGGGTTTCATTTGTAGGATGTAAATAATATCTACTAGATATCTACATATTAATTTAAATTAAATACAAAACTATTTAAATTTTCAACAATTTTTTGAACCGTCAGTTCTAATTGTTAATTGTATTAAATGTTAGATACAATTGTAAAACTGTAATATAAGTAGGGACCTTATTTTCATTATTCCTAATATTGTTTTTGTGACTCCTTGTAGCACCAGGAAATAAGAAATAAATAAATATATAAGTGTATGAATGTACTATAGATCTGGGGACCTCCCACAGGGATTTTGCTAGCCCTGGTAGAGAACTGTACATATAGATAGTTCCCCGATAAGGCTGCTTTGACTCGGAGTTCCTAAGAACAGAGAACTCACCATTTGATCCGTTCGCCCCTTGGCCTCCTCGTACACCTCCAGACACCTCTTGCGCGTGAGTTCGTTCTCCAGGATCTTCCAGGAACGCGACACAATGTCGAATGCCAATTGAGCGCGCTCCTGGTTGTCGGGATTCTTGTCTGGATGGACGAGGATCGACAAGGTGCGGTAGCGCTTTTTTATGTCCGCCACCTCGACCTCGGGCTCGATTTGGAGCACCTCAAACGGATTGAGATTGAAGTACGTTGAACCTGGACGAAGTAAACGATCAATTTGTTGAGAAGGAGTTAAAACTGAATCACGTTTTTCAATTTCTTTCACCTGCAATATAGGCACAAAATCATTTACTCAAGTGTACATAATAATAATGGTTTAGTTTAGTTTTGAGCGGCAGCCCATGGGGGAGGAGCCAGAGACCCGCAGCAAAAGCTGGGCCTGCTGTCCCGCCCGCCACACTTACTTCTGAGTAAAAGTCCTCGAAGGTCTCCTGGGAAGTTCCCGGCTGGTCTCTGGTCGACGAGGAGGACATGGCTGCGACAATAGCAACGCTTTTTGCGTTTTCCCTAACAATTTGTGATAATTTGTGATAAAAATGCACGTCTCTAGAGCTGGCCCAACCACACGCGATAGTATCGATATATCGAGTACTTGGTTTCTAGTGTTGTAAAATGGCAGCTCACCTGGCATTTCTCACTCTTATCGAATATTGCTATCGAATAGTTATCGAACACATGGTGCCCGCCCGCTCTTTTCACCTGAAAATAAATAACGTAACTCCAGAGTTAAACCAATAAATGCAACGTTTGGGATTGTTTGTGGGCCGTCGGATCCTGGGAACTCGCAGAATGAGCAGCAGCCAGAGTGCTTGTGGCCTGGACACGGACATCGTGTGGATGGACCTGGAAATGACCGGTCTGGACATCGAAAAGGACAAAATCCTGGAGGTGTCCTGCATCATAACGGACAAGGATCTGAACGTAAAGTCCGAGGGACCCTGCTTCGCCATCAACCATCCGCAGGAGGTGTACGACACGATGAACGAGTGGTGCATGAAGCACCACTACGAATCTGGTTTAGTGGATCGCTGCCAGAGATCGGATATAAAGCCAGATCAAGCCTCCGATCTGCTGCTAACCTATCTCAAGGAGAACATCCCAAGGCGCGTCTGCCCACTCGCCGGAAACTCCGTCTACATGGACCGACTGTTCATCAGGAGATTCATGCCGTCGGTGGACGAGTATTTGCATTACCGCATCGTGGATGTGTCCACCATCAAGGAACTGGCCAGGCGGTGGCGCCCCGAGTTGGCAAAGGCCGCCCCCAAGAAGTCCTTCGCCCATCGCAGCCTGGACGACATCCTCGAGAGCATCAGCGAACTCAAGTACTACAAAGCGAACTTCTTCAAGTAAATTGTGGGAAAAGTTTTAGATTGTAATCCTAAGACAGTTTAGGTAAGACTTCCAAAGACTGCTCTGAATAGTCAGTTAATCAAATTAGTACATTCAGATTATGAGACCAGGAACCCAGAATAAGCGATATACACTAGTCGGCATAATTATTTTGACAGACTTGGATGTTAACTGTAGTCACATTTTGAACTTTTAATATAAAAATGTTCTTAACCCATTAAGACCCCTTTGAAAAGTGAGCAAATTTTGTAAAAGTCAAATTTTCAACTTTTTTCCTGGGGCTTAAAACAAAAATGTTTTGATGCAAAGTTTTTATCAGAATTAATAATAACTGCAAAAAAAAATTCAAAATATTTTACCTTGTATTTTTTATGATTTTTGAATGGAACGATCTCAGTAAAATTTTGTATGAAAAGGTGGAAAAAGCGGCTAAAATTGTAATTTTTAGCTATTTTCAAAAAATAATAAAAAATACAAGATTAAAAGAGTCGTATCTATCTTCCAAATTGTATGATTTGTATGCAGTTTGCGCATAAGATTAAAGAGAATAATATTTGTTAAGTTTCAAAACGGTAATATCAATAGTGCTTTGAAAATAAAAATCTCAAAGAGAGGCTAACAAATATTTGAAGTAGGTACGTGCAAATCGTAAAGTCATTAATGTATTAATACTATCACAACTTATAAAATACATCTTTATGACCACTGGCTATCTAATCGTTATAAACCCCAATGAGGAAAACAATGAGCACTCATTGTTACCGCGTCGCTTCGCTTGATCGGATTCAGGAAAAATCAATTTAGTTGACCAAAATGAGCACTGACATAGTTTGGATGGACATGGAAGTCTCAGGATACGACGAGGAAACTGATAAAATACTATGTTTCGCCTGTTTTATTACGGACAAGGATGCGAACATCAAATCCGAGGGTCCCTATTTTGCCATTAATTATCCGCCTGAGGTTTATTATACGATTAAATCGGAATGGTATTTTATCCTCAAAGGAATGGGACTGCTGGACTGCTGGGACTGCCCTAAAGTACAGCCGGAGCAGGCGGAGGATCTGGTGCTAAACTACCTCAAGAAGAATGTGCCAAGAAAGGCTTGCCCCATAGCCGGCGAATCTATCCACATGCAGCGACCTTTCATCAAAAAGTACATGCCATCTGTGGATGACTATATGAACTTGAATTTTGTCCAACTGGTCAGGCGATATTCTCCAGATGAAGGACCTAAGATAATAACTAACAACCGCTGCCGGGACGACCTTTTGTTTAATATCAATGAGTTAAACTTTTACAAGGGGGAAATAAAGAAACTTTGTGGGCCTAAGGTTTAATTTCTACCATTAGTAGCTCACCCCTATCAATTTAAAAATAAATAAAGTGCCAAATATGATTATGGGCTTATATTTATTGGCAAATGCATTTTGTGTAAAAAAAATATAAACAATAGGGCTTACTGAATTTTCCGTATATGCACGGAGAAACAGAACTCTATCATAAGAAATAAGAATACGATGGCAATAAAGAACTCAATGCTAGTAGACGCCGTTGATGTTATTGTGGGCGGCTGAATAATGGTTCGGCTCCTGCCTCCTCCGCGAGGACCTGTGGTTGGAATTGGAATTGCCGCTATCGCTGCCCGTCACCTTCTCGGCTTCCATGCGTCCGGATAGAAAGCTGGCCACGCGTTCCTGTTGGGCGCATTTTATGTGATTTTCAAGTTTAAATTAGAAGTTTTATCCCTTCTTACCAGGTAGGTGTTGGTCAGACCCTGCAGGCTTCCGTAGAACGCCAGCATTCGCTTGAAGAGAGATTCAGCTTCCTCCTTGGACAGGGTCTTCACCTTGTCGAGCCGGGAGATTGTGATTATCCGGTGGTTGATATATATGATTTGGTGGGCCACCTCTGTCGTTGTGTGTGCCAGGTTTCTGTCAGGATTGAAAAGAGCTTAGTTGGAGCAGTAAGGAGATTTCTTTCTCCACTAACCTGGGTATGTTGGCTGCCACATGGGCGCTGAAATTCACCAGGTGCACCACTCGCCTGGCCGATTCGCGGGTCAGGAGCACTATCAACTGCTCCAGGGTGGCTGGCCTGGCCTGATTCTCGGGCTCATCTGCACTGAGATAGACCCACAGTTCTTTGGCCTTTTGAACGGCCTGCTTGGGATCGGTGGCAATCTGAGGGAAAAAAATTCAATCTGGTTAGAGGTATCTAAATATAGGTTAACCAAACTATTGGGGTTTTTTCAAATATTAATATCATTGGGGGTAAGCCAAAAAAAAATATATCCCAGAACAAAATACATATTTATTAGGACTAAAATCCAACAGGATTTTTCAGGGACCGTATTCATTCTAAGTTACTTAATCAAAATTTCAAGGTAAAAGGTAAATTTAACTTGTTGTCTTAAATCATAAGTAATAATTTTTGTGTTACAATCCAGATAAATAAAAAATATATATTTTTTTAACTGTTAAGTTAATAAAATAAATATGTAAAAAAAGTAAAAGTGTAAATATGTATTTCTTTAATTATTCTGGATGTGCTTACTACATATAACTACTTAGGAATTCATTTTTAAAAACAAGTAATACTTTAGAAAAATAAGATATTTTTGTTTTTCAGCATGAACTAGATAAAAACCAAATTTTTATATCATTTTAGAAAAAAAATTGTTTTAAGGAATTGGGTGTTTTTAAAAGTAATTGAAAAAGGCTATATACTGACCAGCTCTGCGGCATAGAAGAGCACGTGGATAGCCTCCTTGCTCTGCTTCTTGAGGGCGCGGGCCTCGGCGATGGTCCGTTGGGTGAGTCGTCGCTTCAGTTTGCGGGAGAAGCGTTGACCGTGATGGATCGCCTTGATGGCGCCCCGCTCGTCCGGTACCGCTTCGTTATCATCCTCCTGCGGGGCTGCAAAGCGGATATTCGGAATAAGCAAGTGATTTTTGTGTTTTTTGTGTAACCGCGAGAGCGGATCTCGCCGGATCCCGACCAGAGCTTATCGCCACTTTCTCTAGCTTTCAGATTCCAATGAGTTCGCAATTCCCCGAGATAACCTCCCCGACAACGTCGGCATTTAAAAATAAACTATGAGATGAGTGCACCTTGAGGTGATTTGCCTGAAGGCTCAATTTCTTTCTTTCATTCTTAACTTGACTTTGTTTTTTAGTTTTCTACGCACGATGAAGTTTAATTAACTTAAGGGAAAAATGTTGTATACTAACTTTTTTGGCCAAACATTCGTGTTATTTGTAGTCGAATCGGTGAAATGTGACCATCCAGGGTCGAAAGCAATTTTCGAACTACAATAATTTTGAATATTAAAACATTTAACAAAAGCGTGATTTTCCAAAATATAATGTATTAGTAATTAATGTGATTTTTTTAGATTTTTATGTCAATCCGTTCTGGGTGGAATGGGCTACTGACCGTTTTTTAGGGGTCGTATTTTATATTAGTTTAGATGACTATTACGAAGTTTCAATTGAATAATGTTTGATTTACATGCATTCTATAATTCAATATTATTAAGCTGTTTTTTTCAGAAATGTGGACCCACCCTGACCCACTTTTTAATTAGGTAACCCAATAACTCACCATCAGTCTGATCCTGATCTGTTTGAATAGGCACCAGGTACTTGTCCACGAACTTGTCCCCGGCTGTGAAGGCGCCATCGATGCGATCGGCGGCGTAGGTGGTCAGCGGGCTCTCGAGGACCGCGTTCCCGATCAGCTTGACGGAGTCGGCGCGCTTGAGGACCGGCCGCACCAGATGATCCGACATGTACTCCTTGGTGTTCCAGTACATCTTCAAGCAGAGAAGGATGCCCTTTTGTCAGCGAATGGGGGAGAGTAACCTATCCGTTTACTTACCATTTCGGGCGGCAGGTAGACCAGTGGAATGCGCTGCTCCAGGATGTCCAGGCTCTTGCACATCACGTTGTCCAGGCGCTGAATGGAGGGCTCAAAGAGCTTTACAGCCGGCTGGATGGTTTCATAGGCCGCTGAGATAGTAGCCTCGGCTGTTTCAAAGTACCAGGAGAAGAGCCTATTGTTGTTCTTGACCTTGTCGTAGATGGTCTCCACTCGCTTCACGCTGGATTCCACCAGGGGAATGGAGCCAATGCGATCGATGGCCTCCAGATGGAGTCCACTGCCGCTGGTTGCAGTTGCTAAGTGGATTTCAAGGATCGTGTTATTAGAGGGGTATAACCTTCCCAGGCAACGCGTGTCACTAACCCATTTGAATTTGGATTTCTTGGGGATTTGCGCGGATAGATGAGAGAACTGTTGCTGTCGCCGGCTCAATTGATACTGGCAGGCCTCCGATCGAGCTGCCACCATATAGACTTGGTTCCCAAATCGCCCAGCGCTGACTGATCATGCCCAGGCTGACCTTTGTTATCTGACAACGATTCCACGATTCCATCCGATGGAGGCACAAACACCGTGCACCTAGACGCTTCGCCGGACTTATCAGCAAACACGCCATTCACATTGGTATGGGGTTCCAAAGTTCGAACCGCTATATAAGTGGCTGCAGCTTAGGAACTCCGTGCATGTGAATCACATTCCCAAGATATCTCAACGGTGATCATAATCGCACCACAAATCACCCGATTAGCAGCGGTACTTGCGAAATTTAGTGTGCTAATTGCGGGACAAGTGACGAAAAGGTCCAAACTGCAGCCGACTCAGTAATTGCGGGGGTGTTCGGGTTCGGGTTCGATGTTCTCGTTTCTGCTGCTCCAGACAGCGTTTATGTTAACCCGCCAATGCAAAAGGGTGTTTAAGTCGATCTCGAATAAAAAATACTATACCCTCTTTTTTAAGGGTTTAAAAAAACCTTTTGACAAGGCAGGTTTTTAATTTTTTAAGGGGTAACATCGCAAATATTTGAAATATCAGGGAACAATTTTAATTTTCCGGTTTTGAATTACCATTTATTGGAAATTTAATTAAGAGCTCTGGACAAAATACGGATTCTTAATATTCTGAATCTGTTATTATATTACATTGGTGGGTTAATCATTTACAGCTCTTTGTTGTCTGAGGTTGAGTCGTAAAGATGATAGATGAAGACTAATAAGATGTTAAAATAATATAGGATTTTCATCCGGCAGAACTGTACGACAAATGGTTTAAATATAAAAACACTCCAATGCGCACAGTTTAGATAAAGCAAAGTTCTTTAGATTCAAAGATTTTTGGGAATTGTTGTAGCTTGTTAGATGTTTTTAGTGATTATTTTTCAAATCTCGTAACAAGTATTTTCTAAAGTTTAGTATTTCTCATAATTAGGATCATGATTACTCAGTAAAATAGTTTTAAAAAACATACTTTCTAAATATATATTCAAAACATTGTTGATAGTTTTCAGTTTAAAAAGTAACGGTCAATTAATCGATTTATCAGTGTTGAACCGATTGCGCTTAAGTCAGTGTTGTGAAAGTCGGCTTGGTTTATTGGTAACTTGTGTTTGTTGCGCGTTTTGCAATTGTTAAAGATTAAAACCGCTTTTATTGCTTCCATTTAAAAGTAGAGCAACACAAAATATGTTTAGTTGCTAGTTCTGGAGACACCACACTCGAAATGCAATACTACTTGGGTGTTCTCTGCCTGGCGGGCTTCCTGGGCTCAGGTCAGTGGTTCGATTCCCAAGCCACACCCAAGGCTCGGCGCTCCAAGTGAATCATGTGGATGGGCCACCCAAAACTAACGCTTCACTCCTATTTTACAGCTCTCGGCCAGTACAACCAAATCCAGAGGGACAACTGCATCATACCGAAGATCCTGCAGGGATCATGGTTCTCCTGGGAAACGGGCCTGCCCACGCTGACCGTGATCGACGCCACCTCGATGTCCAGCCGGGGCTACTGCATCAACTACATGCGCCACAAGGGCGACGAGTACTCCTTTGTGTTCAAGGAGCGCTCCAAGGACTGCTACCATTGCGTGAGGACCATCATCCGCACCCTAAATGTGTTCGAGAAGTTCGAGGGCCCCTGCGTGGGCATTCCCGATGGCCAGGAGCCCACCGTGGACTATGTGTGCCGTGGGGTCAAGGACGACCAGCAGCTGATCACGCTCTTCAACGAGAACTTTGTGCCTATTAACTGCCGCTCCTCCTTGGAGGGCGTCTGGCATTTCACCTATCAGGTGAGTTATTTCTAAGCACCATTTATACTCTAGATTTAAAATTTCTCTTCCTGCAGAACCGTTTCCGCTTCACTGGCGTCTGCGACAAGCCGGATGCTCGCATTCAGTCCTGCCAAACGGCGGGCACCCAGTTCTTGATCCAGAACCAGAAGTTCAACGTCACCTACCAGCAGTGCGAGGGCATGGAGGGCACCTTCACCGGCACCGTGGAGTTCAGCTGCCTGGGCGATTGGTTTGTGGGCAAGAACCACTACTTTGCCGTCGCGAACACAAAGGAATCGCGTAAGGATGAGAAGTACCGCTGCTTCCTCAAGAATCGTGACGACGATCTTTACGTGGGTGTTTCCATTACGGCTGAATGTAATACGCTTAAGACGCCAGAAACTTCACCCGAGCGTTTGAAACTGACGCCCGTGAAGGCGGAATTTGTGGAGCCGGGCTGCACGTTGCCCCAGAACTTCAGCGGCGAATGGGTAAACACTGCTAATATTGATGCTGATGTCTCGATCAGTGAGACGCACATCAACGAGACCTACTATCCGGACAAGGCGCGCTACCGCAAGACGATTTACGTTTGCCGCGAGCGTCGTGGCAATCGGGTGATGATGGCCCGCCTGACCGTCGACGGTTGCCAGAAGGATTACGTCTGCTTCGACTTTATGCCCCGTCACCACAACATTATTCGCTACCGCAAGGGTTTGGCCGTCATCAAGGACGACTTCAGCACGGTCTGCTCGTGGGTTCAGTTCCCCAATTCAGAGGCTTGGAAATATGACCTCTTTTTGGCCCGCAATCCTGTGCCCGTCCGTTGTCCTGTGGCGGGAAAATTCAACTTTACGCAGCGAGGAGAGCATCCTTTCAGAACGAGGTTTGTAATTAGCACAGAAGTATACCACAGAACTATTTAATAATGTTTATCCCTTTCAGAATCCTTGGTGGTGTAACGCTGAGTCCCCGTCCCGACATCCATTGCAAGCAAAATATCTCCGACTTGTCGGTCTGCGATACTGACCAAAAGGAGCTGGCTGTGGATGAAAACTACTGCCTGTCCGTGGATCACTTGGGTCGTCCCGTTGATATCTACAGTGACCCGGATTACCGCATGAAATGCATTGGCTTCTGGAAGGAGAATCTCAAGTCCTACCTGATCACCTACGACGATCTGGATCCGCTGTCCAAGTACCGCTGCTGGGTCTATCAGCGCGCCGACCTCAACCGCGTCCTCATGTCGCAGGCTGTGGGTGCCTTCTGCAAACTGGAGCAGGACGTGACCTCGTGGAATCACTCCGAAGGAGCAGCGGTGGCCATCGATGCCGTGGAGTACGAAAGAGAGCGCGACGACTGTCCCATGTACTTTGACGACGGATTGAACCCGTGGAAGCCATCGGATGCCTCCAATATCGTCTTCGACTGGGACTTTTACCGAGCAGGAGCAGCGACACTCGACTTACAACTCACTGGCCTCGTTATCGTGGCCTGTGCGCTGGTCAGGAGCTTAGTAGCTCACTAAGATCAAAAGTATTTCTTAACTATTCCATCCAACGAAATTTACAAATTTACAACCAATATCGAATGACTTTTAGGAATAATTGCGTGCCTTAGAATTTTCGAATGTCTTAAGCAAATTTTAAACTTAGTTCGTAAGTTAATCAAGACACTTTAGACTTGAATTTAGCAACAGCCATTCCGTCCCAAACGAATCTCAAATGTTTTGTTCAAATAATTAAAGCAGTTAAATAAATGCCTCGAACTAAATATGTTATTTTTTTAATATATCTAAACTAATATAAAATTGGACCTCTAAAAAACGGTCAGTAGCAAATTTCACCCAGAACGGATTGACATAAAAATCTAAAAAAATCACATTAATTACTAAAATACTTAGGAGCCCAAAAGCCTCAAAATTCGGTATTTTTCTTTTAAATTATTAATATGTTTTAAATTTATTTTTTACCGCTATTAATGCTGTGCCAATATTTTGTCCCTTACTGTAATCGATTACCCTGAAAAACCGAAGACACCTGGCAACACTATTCCTAGTGTTGTATAATTCCTCAATCAAGTCGGCCCGAACGTCTCACGGAGCAATAGGATTTTTATTTTGAGCTGAAAATTCTCAATTTCTACACATCCCAACAATGTCCCTCTCGCTGCTCCTGCGTGGCGCTGTCCGTTGCAATGGTAAGCAGCCATCGGCTGGTCAATTGGCCCACTATTTGTCGGAAAACAGCTTTTATTATATAACCAAACCGTTTGTTGGTATCCGCTATTAGCCGCAAATCTCGTTAAGTCCGCCCGCCTGACGCCCCTGAAGAGCTACTCCACTTTGGTGGCCAATGTCGCCCAGCGGAAGGCGGTGGTTCAGCCCCTGGCTCTGGCCAAGATTGCAGCGGTAAATATTTGGAATTGGGAATCCAGGAATCTCATAGCTAATGCCAATCCCCACCTGCCTTTTCAGCCCGTTGCTCGCGAGATCTCCGTGAGTGCACCGCGCATGGCCGCCGCCGGAGGAAGTCACACTCTGCTGTGGACCGTGGAGCGCATCGTGTCCCTGGGACTCCTGGCCGTCATCCCAGCTGCCTTCATCGCCCCATCCCAGGTATTGGACGCCCTCCTGGCCGTCTCCGTCGTTATCCACACCCACTGGTAAGATATCATGAAGAGCTCTGCATGAATGGATTCAATGAATTATTTTGAATTATTTGTTTTATATAAATGAGTTTATTAGAATTTTGAGTTTAATAGAATTGCATGAATTTGAATTTTGAGTTTAATAGAATTGAATGAATGAATGGCATGAATTCCGAAATAATTCAAACGACAATTTCTTTTGAAGAAGAAAGGGCCATAATTTTGTGATTAAATCTGCATGACTTCTATTTTCTAAGCAGTTAGCATTGATTTGTTAAAAATTTGTCACTTTTTGTTCTCAAAAGAAATCACAAAAAATATCTGGCAAATTTAAAAAATTCATAAAAATTATTCATTCATTTATTCAATTCGAAATGAATTAGAAAAAGATTCAATTTATTTCACATAGAATTGAATTAAACAAATCAGAAATTTCATGGCATACTATGATAAAACTAAAATTGAATGATTCACGCAGGGCTACAATATCATGCTAAAATTTGAGCCTGTTCATTAGATCTTTATTCATTTTTCTCCTTTACTCCAAAAACAGGGGTGTTGAGGCCATGGTAGTGGACTACATGCGTCCCTCCGTCGTGGGCAACGTCCTGCCCAAGGTGGCCCACATTGCGCTGATCATCATTTCGGTGGCCACCCTCGGCGGTCTCTTCTACTTCATCCAGAACGACGTGGGTCTGGCCAATGGCATCAAACGCTTCTGGGCCATCAAGGGCAAGGATGCCGAGAAGAAGGCCTAAGGCCTTTGAGCAACCAGTTGACGAACCACGAAACACCAGTTATTTATTCATAGTTTCGCGATAAGCAGTAAATAAACAATTGTATAAAGGTAACAGCTGTAGAAAATTGTATATTCAACAAGAAAATCAGCACTAAAATAGTTGGGTAACTGGCAGAGCACCTTTGTTACGTATGGTAATCTACTGTAAGCAATAAATTTGGGCTATTGTCCGGTTTTTGGTCATGACTTGGCCTGCACATTGTTTGTGTAGAATAACCGAAGGGCATCCCATTGTTTTGTGTGCAGCAGAATGTGTGGCCGACACTGACGCATGTGCTCCACCGCCTGGTCGGGATTCCAGCCGTTTTTCTGTAAGTTACGAGGCTTAAGCTTTTTGAGAACATTGTAGAGATTAATGATCTACCCACCATCATTAAGTAGCAGCCCACCAGCGTGGCGCTGCGCGTCCTGCCCGCCTTGCAGTGCACATAGACGGAGCCCACGTTTTCGGGCAGCTGGGAGGAGCTCAGGCCGCCAATCCTCTGCTTGAGGGGCAGGAACTTGTTCATGAACTCCACGCCGCGGAAGAGCTTCTCCTGGTTGGGCGACTCAAAGATGTCGGTGGTGGCCAGCTGCAGGAACTCGATGCCCAGCTTGTTCCACTTCTCCGTGTTGTTGGAGAAGGCGGTCAGCTCGTAGTCCTCGTTCATCGACACCACCGCCTTCATGTTCTCCTGGGCAATGAGCTGGGAAAGCAAATTAAAAGCAAGGATTAGAAAGGATCCCTGACCAGTGATCCCCTGACTACTTACGTCATTCGCCTGGCTGCGAAAGGGCAGGGCTCCCAGTATCACATGCTCGTCGATGCGATCGTACCAGTTCCTGGCGGAGGCCTTCTCCATCAGGACATTGTACAGCAGGGTGGGGTAGAAGGAGACGCGTGCGAACATGGCAGCCTGGAATCACAGATGATGGGGTCACAGGTGGGGTATTTAGACAGGTGAGTATTCGGTCAGGGGAGCAATCGCAACAGCTGTAACTTTCACCAGCGCTGGCGGTCGAGCTTAAAAACTGATTCGCTGTTCGACTGACTCGCTTGAAGCGCGGATTGGAACTGGTTTCGTTTTTGGTTTGGGTTGGGGCTTTGGTATTTGGGCTTTGGGCCTGGGTGTCTGCCACTCAGGTCGCTGCTTCTACTTACACTCATCTCCATGCCGGCTGCTCTGCGGCTGACTGGCGGGATCGATCGAGACAAAAGTGAGTGATTCACGGGCGGTAAACCTTCCTCGTATTCTAATTAGTCCCGCTCGCAATTATCACCTCCAAACGCACGTCAACAGCTTCAATTCCGAATCCCTTCTGTTAAATCTGAGCGTTCCTTTGCATAACGAAACAACAGGCGGAAATTGCAGGGGCGCAGTCAGGCAAACTGTTGCCCAGAACCCCCCAAAAAGGGGGGTCTTTCCGGAGCAAACCAATCGCAGCTGGCTGGGCCATAAGTGCTATCTATATTTTTAAATTTTTGTGCTAAAAAATAACTTATTCAAAGGGACAAAAAAAATTAAGCCCGAAAACTAATTTTTAAATTGAATGTATGATTGGGATTTTTTACTTAAAAATTTAAAAATCCGTTCTTATAATTATTAGAAATTAATAAAATTACCTAAAGTAGAAATAATAATATTAATTTTGTTTACCTCAAAAGTCCAATTAAATCGCAAACATTTTTTGCAGTGCCTAACCTTCTCACCCCCTGTGAATATTTACATGCGCCGCCCTTGGACTCTACTGTTTTCAATGCGGCACCTTCCAACACTGGCCCGTTCGCAGCACTATAAATATTGCAACAAAAAAAATCCGATTAAAAAAGAATCTTACGTGTGAAAAATTAAGGAAAGACAGCCCAGGCATTCCAACCACCCAGCCAAGGTGGCTAAAATGAGCTAATAATTAGAGCAACGACCGCACCGAGATAAGGCAATCAAATCTCCGCTGGCGCTGCGTCCCAGGGAATAAGAAGTAAATAACACAACACGTCAGAAGTGGAAGGGCAGGCAGAAAGCAGGCGAAGATCAAAATTATCGGTGTAAATCTAGTTAGCCCACATCGCCAATCCCCGCCAGAGACCACGTAGCTAGGCGACAATGAAGGCCAACAGTTGGATGTGCCTGCTGGCGCTGCTCCTGGCCTGGCAGCTGCGGGCGGAGGAGCTCCAGGGGCCAAACACAGAGGCTACGGGAACAACAGGAACAGGAACGGGTTTGGGCACCGGAACAGGTACCGCCACGCCCACGCAGCTGCCCAATGAGCCCTCCAGCCAGGCGGAGGCGGAGGAGGTGACCACAGCCGAGTCGGAATCAAGGCTGCCGGCGGAGAGCAACGAACGCAAGGCGGCCAAGCCCAAGGACTCCACGGAGTTTGCTCCCAGGACGAAGGTCATGCCGGCTGCCCTGCTCGAACGCCTCTGGAACGACAGTCTGATGAGGCAGCAAAAGCTCAAGGCCGAGATTGAGCGACTGGAGGCCAAGCGGCAGCCCACCGAGGTGGCGGCACTCACGCCCGAGCAGATTGAAGGTGAGTGGTCATGATAAACCCTTCTTGGGCACCTTCTGATCCCTGTACTTTCAGCTCAAACCATGTACGACAACGCCATGGACATGCTGGCCAAGCCGCGCACGGATAAAAGGGTGGCCTTTACTTTGCTCAAGAAGGCGGCCGCCTTGAATCACCTGAAGGCCAGGGCGGAACTGGCCTGGGCCGCCCTTTTGGGTCACTGGATGGACTTTGATTTCAACCATGCCGCCGATGAGTTCGAGAGCCTGGCCAACGAGGGTGTCCCCGAGGCTCACATGGGCCTGGGATTCCTCTATTCAGCGGGTGTGGGCGGCAAGAATGTGAGCCAACCCTTGGCCCTGATCCACTACAACCTGGCCTCGCTGGGCGACAACACGCTGGCCCAAATGGCCATGGGCTATCGCTATCTGTACGGCATCAATGTGCCCATTAGCTGTGAGAAGGCGTTGATTCAGTACAAGCGGGTGGCCAAGAAGGTGGCCTCCAAGATCACCTTCGCCAATGGACCGGTTGTGCATCGCGTGCGACTGCTGGACGAACTGGAGAATCCCGGCAGCCATGAGACCGAGATTGTGGACTACTACCAATTGCTGGCCGACAAGGGCGACGTCCAGTCGCAGGTGGGACTGGGTCAGCTGTATTACCAGGGCGGCAAGGCCATCCAACAGGATCACCAAAAGGCTCTGGAGTACTTCACACAGGCTGCCAATGCCGGCAATGCAATTGGCTTTGCATTTTTGGGCAAGCTTTATCTGGAGGGAAGCGAGCAAATTAAGGCTGATAATGATACGGCATTTAAGGTGGGCATAACATTGATAACAGTGATTTACGTCGTTGCTAATTTTGTGTATTATTTTATTTAGTACTTCTCCAAGGCCTCGGAAATGGGCGATCCAGTGGGTCAAAGCGGTTTGGGTCTCATGTACCTTAAGGGTTTGGGAGTGCCCAAGGATTCGATCAAGGCCTTGTCCTACTTCACCCAGGCTGCCGATCAAGGATGGGTGGATGGACAACTGCAGCTGGGCAACATGTATTTCAGTAAGTTAAGGAATTTTTAAGATAATTTGCTTTATAGCCTAACAAAACCTTTTTTTCAGCTGGCAATGGTGTGAAAACGGACTACAAGCTGGCACTCAAGTATTTCAATCTGGCCACCCAATCAGGTCATGTTTTAGCCTACTATAATCTCGGGGTGATGAATGCCTACGGCATGGGAATGCTGCGCTCATGTCCAGCAGCGGTAGAGGTTAGTTTATTGCACACTTTAAATGTTAATCAGCTACTAACTGGTTTGCCCATTTCAGTTCTTCAAGACCGTCTCAGAGCGTGGACGCTGGAGCAGCCGACTGATGCATGCCTACGGTGACTACAAGAAAAACCGCATTGACGAGGCTTACATGCAGTACTCTCTAATGGCCGAAGTGGGCTATGAGGTGGCCCAAAGTAATGCCGCCTTCTTACTTGACCGCGAGGAGGTGCATGTGTTCAACGATCGGCACGAAGATCTGATTCGCGCTTTTTACTACTGGAAACGGGCAGCCGGCCAAGGATATTCGGCGGCCCAAGTCAAGCTGGGCGACTATTATTACTACGGATGGGGTACTTCTACGGACTTCGAGACTGCAGCCGCTCTTTACAGGTTGGTTATCTATTAAATTACTCATAGAAAACCTATCTAACTACACAGAAAACAAACCGATATGAAATAGGGTTATTTCTACCTTATTTCATATCAAAAAATATCAACATGATATTTTATCATATCAAATAATATCAAAATGATATGAATAACTTCATCTTTAAAAAATATCAAATTGACCATTAACATTTTTTTTCTTTATTAATATTTATCCCACAGGAAAGCGTCGGAGCAGCAATACAATGCCCAGGCCATGTTTAATCTGGGCTACATGCACGAGCAAGGGCTGGGCATGAAGAAAGACTGGCATTTGGCCAAGAGATTATACGATCTGGCTGCCGAGACAAACTCGGACGCCAAAGTGCCGGTGGCCATTGCCCTTTTCAAGCTGCAAATGCTGGCCAAGATTGAGTCAATCAAAGAGGTGGGCTATAAATCTCTAGTTGCCTTGTGAACTATCTTTTAATTGTTGTTATCTCCTACAGTCACCTTACAGATTTATCTTCTACATGGATGAAAACATCGCTGCCAATTGGGATTTGTACATGATAACCGTCTTGACTTTGCTGTTGGGCATCATAATGTATATGAGGCGACCTTTCCAGCAGCCGGATCAGCCGGCCCAGCAGCCAGCTGCAGATGAGATTGCTGCCGCGCCAGTCAATTTGGCGCCGGTGGGAGCAGAAGCAGCAGCTGCAGTGGGTGAGGCTGCACTGGGGGCCCCAACTGCCGCCCCAGTTGCCTCTCAAACTGCAGTGGCCACCCCGTCCTCCTCTTCCTCTGCAGAAACCCCTGCGACATCCACATCAAACGCCGATGCAGCGTCGCAGGGCGGCAGTAGCTCAACATCTGCGGCGCCCGATGGCGCCAACACACTCGATCCCACTGGTTAGTCTTAGTGAATTGGTTAATCATCCCTCTAGGTTAATTAGTGTGCGTGTAAATATTTATCATCTAATTTCGCCCGATTTAATATTTTTTATTAACTCTAAAACCGACCTTTTTAGATATTTAAAAAATATCGTACTCAGAATGTGAATGTTGTACTGATAAACCAATGAATCGATCGACATTTGATATATGTTTTTGTTTATTTTGGAAAAAAGGGGTTTAAATATAATTTCCTTTTAAATCCGTACAAGTCTTCATCACAAAACGCAGATTGATAAACTGAAGAATGTTAAATTTCCATGGTTTATTTTTAAATGGGAGCGGACAATGTGGAGTTAAACTGCAAATTTCTAGCCTAAGCGTAGTAGTTAAGATTAGCCTTCTTCTTCGCCTGCACTTCCATGATGGCGTCCATGAAGTCCTCGTGCGTGACCGAGTTGGCGGAGCGGCGCAGGGCGATCATGCCGGCTTCCACACAAACGGCCTTGCACTGGGCGCCATTAAAGTCATCTGTCGATCGGGAGAGCTCCTCAAAGTTCACATCGTTGCTCACGTTCATTTTACGCGAGTGAATCTGCATAATGCGGGCACGCGCCTCCTCGTTGGGATGCGGGAACTCGATCTTACGGTCCAGACGACCCGAACGCAGCAGAGCAGGATCCAGAATGTCCACACGATTGGTGGCCGCAATCACCTTGATGTCTGCCGTCGAACTGAAGCCATCCAGCTGGTTGAGGAGCTCCAACATGGTGCGCTGAACCTCGCGGTCGCCGGCCTTCTCGGAATCGAAACGCTTGGTGCCAATGGCGTCCAGCTCGTCGATGAAGATAATGGCGGGCGCCTTCTCCTTGGCCAAGGCAAAGGCATCGCGCACCAGCTTGGCGCCATCTCCAATGAACATCTGCACCAGCTGGGGACCGGCTAGCTTGAGGAAGGTGGACTTGGTCTGGGCGGCGCAGGCACGGGCCAGCAGAGTCTTGCCAGTGCCAGGTGGGCCATACAGGAGAACACCTAAAGAGATTAAGGATAAGCTGGATTTACACCCACTTAATGGATAGATTTCAGATCTTACCTTTGGGTGGATGAATGCCGAGGTTCTTGAACTTCTCCTTGTGCGTCATGGGCAGCACCACCGCCTCGATTAGCTCCTGGATCTGCTTGTCCAGGCCACCGATGTCGGAGTACTGCTCTGTGGGTCGTTCGTCTACCTCCATGGCCTTGACCCGCGCATCGTACTCCGCGGGCAGGGTCTCCAGGATCAAATACGAGTCCTTGTTGACGCCGACCAGATCGCCAGGCTTCAGTTTCTCCGCATCCACCAGACCGATGACGGGCAGGAAGTAGGCCTGTCGCGTGGATGTTTTGATGACGGCACACTTGCCCTTGCGCTGATTGTCCAGCACGGTGACGGAGCCATCGTCCTCCTCCTCCTGCGGATCGACATCCAGCAGCTCTATGACATTGGACACCAGATAGGGCAGCGTCTTGTTAACCTGCGGGGGATGAGTTGCGGATGAAGAGGCGCTTGCCGGCGGAGGTGTCTCACTGGGTTGCCTACCTTGATCTTCTCCGTGTTGTCCTTGATCTTCTCGTTCTGCGCCTGGATCTCGTGCGTGATGCGCATCACCTCGCTCTTCATGATCTTGATCTCGTTGTCCATCAGGCGAGTCCTGCTCACAATCTCATCGGTGGACATACGCATCACCTCCTCGCCCAGCGACTCCTCGCCGTCCTCCCAGATCGATTTGTCCTCCAGAGTCTGAGCCATGTCTAGTAACCTGCTTGCCTGCTGCTCTCGCTAAACTATATAACTCTTTGTTTAAATGCAATTACTGACGATCGTTTTTTGGCAAACACTCTGTCGATGACTTGTAAATTTCTTGTTTTTTCAGCGGCAAGTTGGCAACACTGCTCGCGCCAGTGTTGGGAAGCGGGAGTGCCGGAGTGCCTAGTGCCGCCTATCGATAGTTGCGATAGCCCAGCGATAACAGTTCGGCAGGCTTCTTTTCTGGAAAAAATTTGGCAATTTACATTTACAACTTGCAAATAGCCAGAGCCAGGTTTGCAATGTCCGAAAATAATGGTAAGTGTGGCGGCCGCAGCTGCGGATTTAGTTGTAACTCAATCTGACCAAAAAGCGACGAAATCGCGGCTCTGGAAACTGCTTTACAAGCTGACAACCGAATCTTGTTTTTTCTCCTGCTCCCAGAAGCGTCAGTCGAAACTAACTGTTTCCGAGGTGGCTTCACCCTGAAGGCTTCGCGCCTGGGCGGTGCCGTCCTGCGTCCGGCGGTGCTGGCCAACAGCAGCGCCACCGCCAACAATAGCTCCACATCGGACGAAGGAGCCCTGCTGAACAATCCCTTTCTGCGCGAGGCCAAGGACGAGGAGGACGACGAGGATGTGGTGGCCACCGCCGAGTCATCCGGCGACAAGGACAAGAACGATGACGAGGAGGTGGATGAGCGGCCGGATCCGCTGACCAAGCTGCGCAGCAACGGCATCGAGCGCTCCAGCATGTTTGCCTCCGCCAAGAACACCATGCCCCATGTCCAGAGCAGCGGCTTCGTCTTCGGCCAGAATGTCCATGAGCGCGTGGTGGCCCCCAATCCAGAGCAGGCCACCGCTGCCGGCGAGCCCGATGCCGAGGCGGCTGGCAGCTCGGGATCGGGCTCTGCCCAGGAGGCCGCTTCCTCCTCCACCGCCGCCTCCTCATCGTCGTCGCTGCTCTTCTCCAGCGTCATCCAGAACGCTGCCCAGACCACAGAGACCAGCGAGGCCGCTGCCTCCTCGTCCACCTGCAGCAGCAGCGGCAGCTTCAGCAACAACAACAAGGAGTCCGCCGAGGCCAAGAGCCTGACGGACGTGGCCCGCGAGTACGAGGAGAGCCGCGCCCAGAAGCGCAAGTACGAGGAGGTGGAGACCTTCACCGGCGAGGAGGACGAGATCAATATCATCGACGTCAGCTGCAAGCTGTTCGCCTTCCTCAACAGCAACTGGGAGGAGCGCGGACGGGGCAGTTTGCGCCTGAACGACGCCAAGGACGGCAAGGGCAGCTCGCGCGTCGTGTTCCGCACGTCCGGCAATCTGCGCCTGCTGCTCAACACCAAAGTCTATGCCGCCATGGTGGCGGAGCGGGCTAGCCAGAAGTCGCTGCGCCTCACGGCCATCGACAACTCGGGCGTGGTCAAGATCTTCCTGGCCATGGGCCGGCCGGCGGACATTGCCCAGCTGCACAAGGCGCTCGGCGAGCGGATTGCCAAGCGCAAGGTCTCGCATCCCGAGGAGTGCGCCGTGGAGGAGACGAAAAACGGCGTGGCCTCGGAGGCTGCGGCCAGCCTGCAGCCGGAGTCGACGACCCACGATGATGAGGACGAGGATGCCGGGCCGTCGGGTGCCATTGCCGCCGAGGCGGATAGCTACGGACAGCCGAGTCCCAAGAAGGTGCTCGTCCAGCCAGACAGCAGCGCCGATGTCAGTGTGCCGCCCGTGGACGAAGGCGGCGAGGATGCCGAGGCCGAGGCCAAGGAGTCCACCGATCAGAATTAACCGCCGCCGCCGCTCGCTCTTGTTCTTTTTTATACGATTCATACATGGAGAAAGAAATACAAAACACACACACACAACAACCCAACCACTAATTAATAAAACGCGCCGTGAATTATTATAAATTAATTATAATAATTTATTAATAATTATTATTATTAAAAGTAAAATAAATGAAGTGCTGATTTGTAAACCCGTGAGCAGCGTCTACAAAAGACATTTATCCATTACGCTTCTTGTGTTTATATATTTTTTTGTTAAAAACGAAATCAGAAATTAAGATATCGATACCGATCGTACTCGCTCTAATTAAACGTTTTAATTTAGTCACTATACAAAACCCTATGTACTACTTTTCGCTTAGGAAATACTTTTTACAAGTTCAGCGCTTGCACTTCCAGCGGATCTTCGTTCAGTATTCAGTTATAATGGTAGAAAAAAATAGCGTTATGACGAAACGTACAATCTAAGTGGAAGTAGCAGCATCAGTGGATGTGGATCATCATCATCCCATCCCGCGCTCACAGCATTGGCTTGGAAGGAGTCGCCGATGCGGAGGACGCTGCTGCTGTTCGGTTCCTTGGCCAGGCCAATCAGGTTATTTATCATCAAGCAATTTGTGAAACATTCAACTACAAGGTAACACCTAAAGAAATGAGTTGCAACGCCTGGCCTGCCCGGTAAGAGACTCTATGTACAAAAGGGTAGAAGTCGGCGCCCCTGCAGCGCCAAATCTTAGCTGATGGTGCTGCAGCTGGACACGGTCACGTTGAGGGGATTGTTGGCGCTGCTCACGGCAATGGAGGAGCTGCAATGAAACGGAGAGCATATTATTATTATTATTTCCATTATGTGTATTTGAGTAGTAAAGCTAGTCTTTAGCAGAAATGTCTTTATTCCATATCTATTAAGCAAATTGTAATTTTCTAAAAATCTTTTTACTAAAAACTAGACAACTATCTGAAATTTATGAATGTAATTTATAATTTTAAACCTTTATCATTTTTATTTTACAAAAACTGTAAACTATCTGAATTTTATGAATTTATAATTTTAAAAAACTTTTCAAGAAAGTTATACAAAATTAAATATATACCTATTTTTTTTTAAACGTATGCAATAAACAAATAAAACTTTTTCCATTTATATTTTCTAAAAACTGTAAACTATGTAAAATTTATGAATTTATAGTTTTAAAAAACTTTTCAAGAGAGTTATAAAAAAACACATTCAATGTTTTACAAAATATGCCGAAATATGTATAAACGAATTAAACCTTTTCCATTTATATTTTTTAAAATTTATGAACTTATAATTTTAAAAAACATTTCAAGAAAGTTCAAAAAAATCAAATATGCCTATTATTTTTAAACTTTTGAAATGTTTTACAAAATTTACAGTAATATGTAAAAACGAATAAGACCATTTCCATTTATATTTTACAAAAACTGTAATTTATCTGAAATTTATGAATTTATAATTTTAAAAAACTGCACGAAGGTTATCAAAAATATAATATACCTAATTTTTTTGTAACATATGCAATGTTTTACAAAGTTTACCGGAATATTTATTCACGAATAAAACCTTTTCCATTTATATTTTTCAAAAACTGTAAACTATCTGAAATTTATGAATTTTAAATTTTAAAAAACTTTTCAAGAAAGTTATACAAAATTAAATATATACCTATGCACATATGCATATGCAATGTTTTACAAAATTTACCGTAATATGTAAAAACAAAAAAAGCATTTAATAAGTTCCCACCTTTTATGTAAATCCCCAACCCAGCATCCCACACTTACCGATTGTGACGCATGTGACTCTTGACTAGATCGCTGTTGACCAGCGCCGCCATCAGGCTCAGTTCGCCGGCCATGACCGTGGCGCAGACGATCTGGGCCAGCTTCTTGGCATTGTCTCCTGGCCGGGTGGCGTGTGCCCCGCGAACGCCGAGCATTTCCAGGCAGGCGCTCTGGCCTGGCAGCCCGGTGCCGCCGCCCACGGTTCCCACCTCCAGCGAGGGCATTGTGCAGGTCATGTACAGATCCTCGCTGTTCTCCACCCAGCACTCCATGGCCGTGGAGCAGTTGCTCGAGGTCACGTTCTGGGCGGGATCCTGCCCGGTGGCCAGGAAGACGGCGGTGACCATATTGGCGGCATGGGCGTTATTACCACCAATGCTGCCTGCCATGGCGCTGCCGCCCATATTCTTCAGTTTGTTGCACTCGACCAGCGTCTTGGCGTCCGTCTTCAGCACGGAGCGCAGGGTGGCCGCCGAGATGGTGCACTCGGTGACCACCCGCTTGCCGCGTCCCTTGATCCAGTTGATGGCCGCCGGCTTCTTGTCGCAGCAGAAGTTGCCGCTCAGCGAGATGATCTGCATGTCGGGAAATTGGCGCTTGATGCGGCGCAGCGCCATCTCGGCGCCCTTGGACACCATGTTCATGCCCATGGCGTCGCCGGTGATGGCCACAAAGCGAATGTACAGCTGCGGGCCATCCATGGCGATGTGGCAGTCCTTCAGGCGACCAAAGCGCGATGTGGAATCGAATTCCGTCTTTACCAGCTGGTAGTTAACATCGTTTTCAATCCAGGACTTTGCCTCCGCGGCACGAGCAACGCTGGGAAATCTCACGCAGGGCGCCCGGGTCATGCCCACATCCTCCACGACGGAACGAACTCCGCGAACGGAGAGCGCCTTGCAGCCACGATTCGTGGACGCCACCAAAGCTCCCTCAGTGGTGGCCATGGGCACATAGTAGGTCTCTCCATCCAACAAAAGGGGACCGGCGTAGCCCACTGGAATGGGAACGTAGCCCAGGACATTTTCGCAGCAGGCGTTGAGCACCCGTCGATAATCAAAGTGTTCATAAGGCAAGACATCCAGACGACCCGCCGGCATCTTGGCCCGGCTGGCGATGATCTGTCGGCGGATTCGCACTCCCCTCTCCGGATCGTCCAGCACGGATTCGATTTTGTACAGCGGGCAGTGAGTGCCGCCTGCGTGGACAATGGCCACGATCTCCTCGTCGCTCAGGGAAGCGGGTCCACTGCCATCCTCGGTGGAGTTCAGGATATCCAGGCATTCCTGCAGGGGACGTGGTGGCCTAATGGGACCCACCAGTCGGTGGCGCAGAGGAAGCAGCTCCGTTTGAGTAGAAGCATTCGCTGAACTCTGCTCTTCAATGGTGAAGAGTGGAGCACGGACTGGAATAGGGGCTGCACTGATCTCCAGCTGCTTCTTCTGCTCATCCTGCTCCTCCTCAATGGGCGTGGTTTGTGAAGCCTTGGCGGCAATGGCCACTGGACCCGATTGACGCAGCTGATCCGGCAGGGGATCGCGATTGTCGAAGCAAATGAATTTGACCACCAGGGCGATGAGAACAATTGAGATTACTATGTGATCGGCACTCATGGTGAGCCATCTGGAAAAGGAAAGGGAAAATGTTAGTTATTTGTTATGCTTAATATAGATTAGAGCCATGAAATCAATGATTTGTTTAATTCAATTCTATGTGAACTAAATTGAATGTTTTTCTAATCCATTTCGAATTGAATGAATAATTGAATAATTTTAATGAATTTTTTTGAATTTGTCAGATTTCTTTTGTGCTTTCTTTTGTGAACAAAAAGTCGAAAATTTTTAACAAATCAATGTTAACTGCATAGTTAATCAAATTCAGGCAGATTTAATCACAAAATGATGGCCCTTTCTTTTTCAAAAGAAATTGTAGTTTTAATTATATCGGAATTCATGCCATTCATTCATTCAATTTAATTAATTCATAAAAATTCAAAATAATTCATTGAATCCATTCATGCAGGGCTCTTGTATAGATCCACATCCCTGAAACCTACTTGATAATTATATCCGTGATCTCCCCCGATTCCGTGCGATTGTTGCTCACATTCAGGCTGAGCGTGGGCGACAGCGTCTTGTCCACGGAATCGTAGTCGCTGCCCGAGAAGGCCACCCGACTGTAGATGTGCACGGCCATCAGGCCGGTGGTCATGATCAGCTTGACGCGCTGCAGCACCGGATTGGCCTTCTGCTCCTCCTCGGTGAGGGACTTGAGCAGCAGCGAACCCTTGGCCTTCTCGCGCACCACCGACATATCGACGCCGGAGCGGGACAGATCGAAGATCAGCGACAGGCAGGCGGGATAGAAGGTCATGAAGACCACGTAGTTGACCAGCACCGAGAGTACGGCGAACATGCAGAGCACCTCGAGGCGTTGGACACCCGACAGCGTGCCCACGCCCACAAGCAGCACCTCCACAATCGTGTCCAGCGAGATGGCCGGTCCCAATAGCTCCAGCCCCCGGGCAATGTTCTGGGTCACCTCCGCCTGGTTGCTGCCCGAAAGGGCCAGCTGCGCCAGTCGGCCAGAGTTGGACAGGTCGATGACCAGCAGCAGGAAGAAAAGGGCGTCCCTGAAAGTTGGTTAAGAGCGGGTTAAATTGCGTATCTAATTAGCGTATTTAGTACTACTACTTTATTGGCAGAGTATGGGCTTTAAAAATAATTTAGGTTTTTAACAAAAGAAATATAAATGTTTCATTCTAAAAATTTAAAGAACTCTTTAAAAAATTTGTATAGATAGATTGGAATATTAATCGTTTTAAAGCACGCTAATTTTGTATTACTTAATAAGATATAATTACTTGATATTATATAATATTTCATATCAAGTCTACATCCAAAAAAAAATTGATATGAAAAGTAGATCGATTTTACATTATTTAAGATCAATTTTAATTTGATATGCGGTCAGTCAATTTGACCTGGTCGAAAAGAGTATTTACATGGCCATATCGATTTTACGGGTACATGCTTCTTTTTGTGTGTAACATTTATAGGTTACTTGTTTATAAAAATAACTTTCCAGGCATTTTTGAAAACGATAAATCATACGGCCCTGTTCTAGTTTTCACTTCCGAAAGATTCACACGGAATCGAATTTCCCAGACCTGTTCCAGGACTCACTTCCGAAAGAACTGCAAGGATTCAAATATCCCTCGTTGTTACTCGGTTAACTTCCGGAAAATTCACATGGAAACTTTCCGCCAAGCATTTGATAGGCGGTTTTAAATCAGCCAGCATGAAATCAAATTCACTTCCGAGTGAAAACTAGAACAGATCGAATAAAAATATTACTTTTAACTATACTCACTTCAGTTCAGAGATGTCGCTGCCCAGGAACTTAATGATGGCCGTCGTGAA